ATTTTAATGAATAAAAATGTCAATTTTTCAAAAAATTTACTTATAAGCAAAATCTTTTTTAAGCTTAGCCAAATATACTTTAATTTGTCTTAATTAGATAATAGATTAGAGCTCCACAATGAACAACTCATTGCTCAAGTCAATTTTTGTTTTAATCACCTAGCACATGCATGGATGTGATTTTTTGGTAAATTTTGTATATAATATTAATTACTAGCATTGCTGACAATAGTTAACTAGTGTTCCTAGGACAATAATATTGTCCATCTAAACTTGAAATAATGTGTATTAATTAGCATGGGTTATATGATTTACTTGAAATCAAACATATCATGAGATCCACCATAAGATCATAATGAGTTTTGTTTACGTACAGATCGCTGTGATTAATCTTATTCAATTATCAGGTGATTTTTAGTAAAATAAAAATAAAAATTACAAAATGGTAAGAATATGAGGGGGTATAACAATCACAAAAATTTTTTAGAATATATATGATAGTTTTTAATTAATTACAATGAAAACGGGGCATAATCTTTAGTTATGTCTCACCACCTTTGCAATGAAATGGAAGACAGCAAAGCACTAGCATAGGATAATAATAATTGTTGATTCAACATTGTAACATAAGTGATGAGGGATCGTGTAATGGAAAAGGATAATTGTTATACCCTGACGCGAGGTTGTTGGATTTATGACAGGTTGCACAATAAATTGTTATACCCCTCAATCAATTGTTGAATTTTGTCCTTCATTCCATCCACCATGTTTGAGGGGGGACAAGACAAGTTCATAATTTTTACGACAGGTTGCACCTTGGAACTGAGGCAGAGTTTGAAGGGTTTGCCCTCTGTCCAGTGGCGAATTCAATATCTATGTCCAGCTAGGGCGGAGGTTGACTTTGATCGTTGACCGCCGACAATCAACAATACAATCATAATAGCCTGATCGTTTATTAAAATTTGATTAAATAATATTCAAAAGTATTCAATGTATATGTAAATGCACTAAAATAGTAAAATGTAAAAAATATATACATATGAAAATATAACTTCCTTTTCGGTTGGGAAAATCATTCCATACTCTACAAAATGCCCCCAATTTAATTTTTAATTAGAATCGATTTACTGGATGTCAGCCGATCAAACATTGGTTAAACACAAAATAATAACTAATAACACTAATAACGGAATGTCAGTCAGTCAACATCGATTTAAACACTCCATAATTTCCTAATTTCCTTTTCCAATAAACATGTGAATTAAACATTGATTCGACTGATTAATAAATAATAACTAATAACACAAAATACATCAATTTCTTACGTCAAACAAGAAACAACACTCAAGACTCTCAACTGCATAAGCACAAATCGACAAATCAATTTGAATTGTTGAATTGCAAATTGACAAATCAACAAAGGGTTTGCACAAATTACAAATTGAAGTATTCAAATTCAAGCAAGACTTCAAGTAATCAAGTATTCAAGATTTCAAATATTTCAAGGCTTCAAGTTATTCAAATTTCAACTCACCAGTCGGTCGAGGTATAGGACGACACCTGGTTCAGTTGTTCGCACACAATCCACACCGCCTCCAAGCTCCAGTTGCCAGCCAACTACTTCTGCTGTTCTGCAAATCTGCTTCGAAGAATCGAAGTTCGAATGAAAATAAGGTTTCGTTATTCGCCTATTCTGCAACTCCAGCTACTGGTTTGGGACTTTTGGTTAATGGGATTTCAGCCTGTTCTGCCGGTTTCAAATAATTGGGACCATGGGTTGTTTTGGTTTGGGGAAATGAGAAATCTTACTTGGGCCTAAAGTTTTTTTTTTTTTTTTTAAAGGCCCCAAAAAAATCAGCTTGAATCTCCAGAACCAGACCAGATGCCCAAACGAAAATAAAAAGAAAAAAATTCCTAGTCTTCTTCTCTGCCAACTGTGCCACCAACCCGGCGGCCACTGAAGCTCCCGACGAATCCAACTAGGGCGGCCGCTCGGGCTTACCACTAGCTGGATCCGCCACTGCCTCTGTCACGAATGGTGCGGACAATTTGGTTTATTATAAGCTTTGTATACCCTAGCCCAGATCCTTTTTGGAACTATTTATTTTTATCTTTATGTTTAGTCCGTTTCCAAATTTAAGTTCAGTCATTATCCAAGTTCCAAGATCATTAGTCCAAGTCCATAGCTCTAGAATACACATTAACTTATGATTTTTCATTTATGTTCCACTATTTTTTTAAAATAAAATTGAATTTTTAATTTTTGAAAAGAAGAAGCTCCAAAAAAATTTTTACTGCATCATTTTTTAAATTTAAGTTTTTTATTTAATAGTATGTAGAAGAAGAAACAAAAAAGCAGCAGCAATTCCAAATTAAAACTTAGGATTTGAAGTCGTTACATTTTGCTTTATAAATATGTTTTTATTTTAGCCCTTGTTTCACACTCATTATTTGGAAAATTAAAGAGTTTTGAATAGTTTTTTTTTTTTTTTTTTTTTTTTTTTTTTTTAAAAATTGGGTGAAAAAAAAAAAAATTTTTATAAGAATGTGTGGTAAAAAGTAAAGAAATTTTATTGGTTTGTGTGTAGAATATTTTACTGTATAAATGTGTGGTGGAGAATCATGCTGTAACAAAAAATTTAAAATTTTGAAGGTTATCAAATAGGTGCTTAATTTGATTGTTTGTTGCTCTCTGGATTGTCAGTTGACAACCGATTTCAACCCGCGATTTACGTATTAACACATTTACTGGATAGTTGTTGCCAACGTGTCCGACTTGAGAGAAAATAGTATGCAACATGGCATCTCCAACATGCCGCACCAGTAACATGTCAATTCATTATTGTTTTAGCTCCCAACTAAATTCATGGCCCTATCTCTTACAATGTGTATCAGCAGACTAATCATAAAATGAGGGATAAAGTCGACGATTGAGAAAAACATATCCAATTGTATATGCAAACTACAGTTACACTAAACAACAAGTGAGACAAAGTGCAAATCATATGATATTCATGCTTTGAATAGATATGACTAATGAGTTGAGCAAAAAGCATGATACTAATGAAAATACTTTAAATGTTCGATGCACAACAGGGGCAGTTAGATTAGGTCCATTCTCTAACCAAACAAAATTTTAACTTTCACCATCTCTCCATAGTTCAATCATCAAAATATTATTTGAAATAATCATCAATTTAGTCATCAAATTATTATCTGAAATACTCCACAATTGTAAGCAAAAATTTAGTATTGTGAAACTGTAAATAGAGTAATTCCTAATTATTTATCGACAGTAGTACATGAATCTCTAGAATGGCAAGAACAATGATACATGAATCATGATTTTGTCAATTAGCATTGATAAAATCATGTGAAAACCACAAATAAATAGAGAAGAAAGCAGAAGAAACAACATAGACAAGAAAGGAAACTAAATGAAATTGTGGTTGTACAATACAAACTTGAAAGAAACCTGCACTCTCAATGCACAGCGCCTGCATTGAAGTTTGTTTAAACTGATCTCGAACCGCAGACTATATCAAAATTTAGAAGAAAGGAAGTAAGAATGTAGATAAAGACAAGAAAGCCAGGAATGAAAAATGGAAAGCTTCCCAAAGAAAATGGTACCAGTAAATGATTGGAATGGAATACTTTGAAACTCTGCACATTACTACTTAATTTATAACTTGAAGGCATCGTTCCCCCAATCCAATTGTTGTTCTTCTATTTTCTTTGCTGATTCTACAATTGAATCACCACAGCCATGCAACTCGATGGATTGAAGAGTTGAAATTTCTCCAAAACCACTAGGGATCTCATCCAGCGGTGAACGAAACAAAACTGAAATGACTAGGTGCTCGAGACTCGGGAAGTGGATACTGTCAGCTCTCCAACTCTTCAGGTCAACATTGTGTAATAGCAGATATTTCAATTCAAGAAATTCTTCTTCATTTGGTTCCCACACTCCACAATCGAAGTTACATGTGTGTAGAATATTTTACTGTACGAATGTGTGGTGGAGAATCATGCTGTAACAAAAATTTAAAATTTTAAAGGTTATCAAATAGGTGCTTAATTTGATTGTTTGTTGCTCTCTGGACTATCAGTTGACAACCGATTTCAACCCGCAATTTACGTATTAACACATTTACTGGATAGTTGTTGCCAACGTGTCCGACTTGAGAAAAAATAGTATGCAACATGGAATCTCCAACATGCCGCACCAGTAACATGTCAATTCATTATTGTTTTAGCTCCCAACTAAATTCATGGCCCTATCTCTTACAATGGTGACGTTGGAAAAGTGATGCACCTGAGAAGATAGGGGAACTTATGGTTATATCCTACTCGACATTTTAATGATTCAAGTTTAGTCAGACGGGAAAGATTATTCATATAGTAATTTTCCCAATCTTTCCCCAGATTATCATAATTTATAGCCAATTTCTTTAAATTCGGAATTCTTTTGAGAACCTCCTCCGTCCAGCCAAAATTATATAATATCGAGAGGGTTTGTAGGTTTTCTAGAACAACAATAGAATTTTCTTCCCCCTTAATTTCTGAACTGGGAGGATCATAAAATGAGGGATAAAGTCGACGATTGAGAAAAACATATCCAATTGTATATGCAAACTACAGTTACACTAAACAACAAGTGAGACAAAGTGCAAATCATATGATATTCATGCTTTGAATAGATATGACTAATGAGTTGAGCAAAAAGCATGATACTAATGAAAATACTTTAAATGTTCGATGCACAACAGGGGCAGTTAGATTAGGTCCATTCTCTAACCAAACAAAATTTTAACTTTCACCATCTCTCCATAGTTCAATCATCAAAATATTATTTGAAATAATCATCAATTTAGTCATCAAATTATTATCTGAAATACTTCACAATTGTAAGCAAAATTTAGTATTGTGAAACTGTAAATAGAGTAATTCCTAATTATTTATCAACAGTAGTACATGAATCTCTAGAATGGCAAGAACAATGATACATAAACCATGATTTTGTCAATTAGCATTGATAAAATCATGTGAAAACCACAAATAAATAGAGAAGAAAGCAGAAGAAACAACATAGACAAGAAAGGAAACTAAATGAAATCGTGGTTGTACAATACAAACTTGAAAGAAACCTGCACTCTCAATGCACAGCGCCTGCATTGAAGTTTGTTTAAACTGATCTCGAACCACAGACTGTATCAAAATTTAGAAGAAAGGAAGTAAGAATGTAGATAAAGACAAGAAAGCCAGAAATGAAAAATGGAAAGCTTCCCAAAGAAAATGGTACCAGTAAATGATTGGAATGGAATACTTTGAAACTCTGCACATTACTACTTAATATATAACTTGAAGGCATCGTTCCCCCAATCCAATTGTTGTTCTACTATTTTCTTTGCTGATTCTACAATTGAATCAACACAGCCATGCAACTCGATGGATTGAAGAGTTGAAATTTCTCCAAAACCACTAGGGATCTCATCCAGCGGTGAGCGCAACAAAACTGAAATGACTAGGCTCTCGAGACTCGGGAAGTGGATACTGTCAGCTCTCCAACTCTTCAGGTCAACATTGTGTAATAGCAGATATTTCAATTCAAGAAATTCTTCTTCATTTGGTTCCCACACTCCACAATCGAAGTTACAACCTTTCAATTTCAGCACTCCAAGACAGGGCATCGAACCAAGAATCGTCAAATCTTCGTAATAAAGGTACATGTCGTATAAAGTCAACTTTTTGAGTGACGTTGGAAAAGTGATGCACCTGAGAAGATAGGGGAACTTATGGTTATATCCTACTCGACATTTTAATGATTCAAGTTTAGTCAGACGGGAAAGATTATTCATATAGTAATTTTCCCAATCTTTCCCCAGATTATCATAATTTATAGCCAATTTCTTTAAATTCGGAATTCTTTTGAGAACCTCCTCCGTCCAGCCAAAATTATATAATATCGAGAGGGTTTGTAGGTTTTCTAGAACAACAATAGAATTTTCTTCCCCCTTAATTTCTGAACTGGGAGGATCAGGAAGATGTATGTAACCATTCAACTTGACATGTCTTAAATGTGGCATCTTCCATATTTCTGGTGACAGTTTAATGGACCTGCGATCTTCCAAATAAACCATTGTTTGTAGATTCCGAAGCTTATATAGTGAAGCATTGACGGACTGTACAGAGAATTGATTGTAGCAATAGATGTACCGCATGTTAACCAAATCTTCCATTTCATCTAGCCAAAGATGACGTCCCTCCATGTGCAGTACTTTAAGTGGCCTAGAATCGAAAGAAATTTCTTCAGGTGGAAAGTGAGACCGCACCACTCAAGAAGATAGCGTCTTGTCATCACCCTGGAGCGTCCCTTTAGTTGCATGGTAAAATTGCGCTTCGTCTAAAGACGATAGAGAATTCTTCTCAACATGAATACTTACACGGCGCTTATCAGTGCTTCCTTGAATACCATAAGGACCCCCTTTAACGACGTGGAAAAACTTCTCTTTTTGAGCTTCTTTGACACAAAGGTCCCGTAAGAGATCATGAATTCTACATGTTTTAATTTTGCCATTAGACCCTTTCCTTTGAACCAAAATAAGACTTCTATGAACAAGATCCAAAAAGTACTCCTCTCCTACATCTTCCAACGTTTTAGAGCATGCTGGTTTGAGGATTCCCTCTGCAACCCACAACTTGGTAAGTACGTTGACTTTGATGTCAAAATCTTCTGGAAAAATTCCCATATAGAGGAAGCACCCTTTCAAATGATGAGGCAAATGTTTATAACTTAAAGAAAGTATCTTAGAGCATTGCTCGTCATTTGAAGTTATTTCTGAACTTAAATTTTTTGCAATACTACTCCAGTAATGTGGTGTTCTAGTGGCCTTTGATAGGAGGCCCCCAATCACAACAACTGCAAGTGGAAGTCCTCGACAATTTTGAGCAATCTTCTTGCCAATTTCTTCCAATTCAAGAGGGCAACAACATTCTCCAAACACCTTCTGACAAAATAAATTCCAACTTTCTTTGTCATTCAGAAAACGCACATGATGAAGAGGAGAACCAGAGTTGATATAATTAGCCACATTCTCTAGCCTAGTAGTCAAAAGGATTCGACTTCCAGTTTTGTCGTCTGGAAAATATATTTTCACATTGTTCCAGTTGACGTTGGAAAAGTGATGCACCTGAGAAGATAGGGGAACTTATGGTTATATCCTACTCGACATTTTAATGATTCAAGTTTAGTCAGACGGGAAAGGTTATTCATATAGTAATTTTCCCAATCTTTCCCCAGATTATCATAATTTATAGCCAATTTCTTTAAATTCGGAATTCTTTTGAGAACCTCCTCCGTCCAGCTAAAATTATATAATATCGAGAGGGTTTGTAGGTTTTCTAGAACAACAATAGAATTTTCTTCCCCCTTAATTTCTGAACTGGGAGGATCAGGAAGATGTATGTAACCATTCAACTTGACATGTCTTAAATGTGGCATCTTCCATATTTCTGGTGACAGTTTAATGGACCTGCGATCTTCCAAATAAACCATTGTTTGTAGATTCCGAAGCTTATATAGTGAAGCATTGACGGACTGTACAGAGAATTGATTGTAGCAATAGATGTACCGCATGTTAACCAAATCTTCCATTTCATCTAGCCAAAGATGACGTCCCTCCATGTGCAGTACTTTAAGTGGCCTAGAATCGAAAGAAATTTCTTCAGGTGGAAAGTGAGACCGCACCACTAAAGAAGATAGCGTCTTGTCATCACCCTGGAGCGTCCCTTTAGTTGCATGGTAAAATTGCGCTTCCTCTAAAGACGATAGAGAATTCTTCTCAACATGAATACTTACACGGCGCTTATCAGTGCTTCCTTGAATACCATAAGGACCCCCTTTAACGACGTGGAAAAACTTCTCTTTTTGAGCTTCTTTGACACAAAGGTCCCGTAAGAGATCATGAATTCTACATGTTTTAATTTTGCCATTAGACCCTTTCCTTTGAACCAAAATAAGACTTCTATGACGTATGCCACTGTCATCCACAATCTTCTCTGGCGGTGTCTTTGTGGTATCAACTTCGAGAATTAGTTTGGCTATTTCATGGAATGAAATTGTAAAGATGCCACCACTTTGAGTTGCAGATTCTTCAAAAACTCTTTCTGCAATGCAGGATTCAATTATATCTTCAGTGTGACATGTTGCATCACTGATCTTTCTCTCCAAACCTTCTATTGATTCGATGTTTTCTCGTGGAAAATTGTCGAGAAAATCTTGCAAGTAACCCACTTTTCCCAGGAGAGATTCTATTTGTTGTTTCTCACCCGGAAGAAGATATGAACAATCATACTTCAAGGTGCGCTGAAGAACGTGAGTAAGAGAGAGAAGAGCAGCATACGCCATTTCTGTTTTCTTCAGGTGGAAAGTGAGACCGCACCACTAAAGAAGATAGCGTCTTGTCATCACCCTGGAGCGTCCCTTTAGTTGCATGGTAAAATTGCGCTTCCTCTAAAGACGATAGAGAATTCTTCTCAACATGAATACTTACACGGCGCTTATCAGTGCTTCCTTGAATACCATAAGGACCCCCTTTAATGACGTGGAAAAACTTCTCTTTTTGAGCTTCTTTGACACAAAGGTCCCGTAAGAGATCATGAATTCTACATGTTTTAATTTTGCCATTAGACCCTTTCCTTTGAACCAAAATAAGACTTCTATGAACAAGATCCAAAAAGTACTCCTCTCCTACATCTTCCAACGTTTTAGAGCATGCTGGTTTGAGGATTCCCTCTGCAACCCACAACTTGGTAAGTACGTTGACTTTGATGTCAAAATCTTCTGGAAAAATTCCCATATAGAGGAAGCACCCTTTCAAATGATGAGGCAAATGTTTATAACTTAAAGAAAGTATCTTAGAGCATTGCTCGTCATTTGAAGTTATTTCTGAACTTAAATTTTTTGCAATACTACTCCAGTAATGTGGTGTTCTAGTGGCCTTTGATAGGAGGCCCCCAATCACAACAACTGCAAGTGGAAGTCCTCGGCAATTTTGGGCGATCTGCTTGCCAATTTCTTCCAATTCAAGAGGGCAACAACATTCTCCAAACACCTTCTGACAAAATAACTCCCAACTTTCTTCGTCGTTCAGAAAACGAACAAAATGAAGAGGAGAACCAAAGTTGATATAATTAGCCACATACTCTAACCTAGTAGTCAAAAGGATTCGACTTCCAGTTTTGTCGTCTGGAAAATATATTTTCACATTGTTCCAGGCCTCAACATCCCACACGTCATCCATCACAAAAAGATACCGTCTACCCTTTAGGCTCTTGTACAGAAGTTCTCCTAATTGATCAATTTCCTTTTCACTCTTCTTGTAAATTTTTATGTTCATGGAATCTAAGAGGCCTAGTAGGATTTCTCGCACACTATATTCTTGAGATACAGTGAGCCAAGCGCGAATGTCAAAGTGATACTCAGTATATTTATCAATGTAAACTTTGTGAGCGAGTGTAGTCTTACCGATGCCACCCATGCCGACAATTGACACAACTTCAAGTTGTGATGAACTTCCAACTAGGCGATCCTTGATCTCCACCAAGACATCATCAAGACCAACCATAGTGCTCTGACCCCAAGAATCTGGTCTTATTGAACCAACAGGCAATGAGGTGTTGCGCTCCAAATCTTCTCGTATGCCACTGTCATCCACAATCTTCTCTGGCGGTGTCTTTGTGGTATCAACTTCGAGAATTAGTTTGGCTATTTCATGGAATGAAATTGTAAAGATGCCACCACTTTGAGTTGCAGATTCTTCAAAAACTCTTTCTGCAATGCAGGATTCAATTATATCTTCAGTGTGACATGTTGCATCACTGATCTTTCTCTCCAAACCTTCTATTGATTCGATGTTTTCTCGTGGAAAATTGTCGAGAAAATCTTGCAAGTAACCCACTTTTCCCAGGAGAGATTCTATTTGTTGTTTCTCACCCGGAAGAAGATATGAACAATCATACTTCAAGGTGCGCTGAAGAACGTGAGTAAGAGAGAGAAGAGCAGCATACGCCATTTCTGTTCTCTCCTATCGATCACAGCTTGGAAGATAGAAAATTGAAGCAAAATGAAAGCAATCAGGATCTGTTCCACCTACACATTACGCAAGTATATATTGTTTAAGAATGTTGATAGCAATTTGCAATTTCTTAATTGAATAAAAGGCCGGCAATGGAAATTTGAGAAGAAAAATTAATATTAAATTGCAATCAAAAATTTGTTTACTGAATGGATGCAGACTTCCCACCAAACTATGCAATTATATATTGTTAAAGAAAGTTGATGCAATTTGCGAATCTCGAAGTAAATGAAAAGCTGGCAATCTGGGTGCTAGAAGAAAAAGACAATACAATATATATATAATTTGAATTGATGCGGAATCCTCGTCAAATAAGTTGAAATTAAATTACAACAGCGCTAATCAACATATGGAGTACATAGGTATGGATGTTGTTGACCTCGAAATTCTATGAGGTTGTTTAGTCAACAGATTTCAACTTTTTTGCCTTCCACATGTATGTAACATGTAGAAACTTGAACACCGTGTTAGAATGATTGTGACCATAGCTCCGGTGAGATGGGACGATCACGGGCAGTCCAACACTTAAGTCAAATGGTGGAAAAAATTGTTTGTGCGTAGGAGAAAGCAATGGATGAATATAATAAGTTCCAATTTGAAGAATGAGCATTACCAAGATCAATGTGAAAAGAATATTCAAAATTGCACTCAAAATTTTATTACCTTTGGAAGAAACTATGCTTGTGCTTTTACATCAAGAAAGAAGAATTAATGTCCATGGAATGCTAGACGTGCGGTCTCATCCTAATGGCTAACAAATAAAGTTCAGATGTGCTAATCCTAACTGACATAAATTGAAAAGTAGCCACATAAATTGTAGGTCCATCATCTAAAAAGTAGACAAAAAAGTTAACTAAGCGTACCAGCTATAACATTGCCAAATCTATCGAGCATATGGAGTATCTTCGTACGGAGTATTATTGGCAGAGTTGACCCTTGTCAAGATGCCCTTCACAGAAGATGCCAACCACCTCAAAAATACACTACAACAAAAAGTGATGCCTACCTTCGAAAGTGGTCACTCCGGATGAGGCGTCAAAGGACTTCACTTAGATACTGATCACCTCTTAGGACTTATTCAAATGGGAGAGGCAAAGTGGAGTGCGTATCTTGTGAAAGCCTTTTGCTTGGCTTTTTCTTAGAAGACAACCATTTGACCTGCCTCACTGGTTGAGGCTTAACAATGGTCCTCCAAGTACAGGTATGAATATATATGTGTAATCATCTCATAGGCTAAGAGATAGCGAAGCAAGGAAAAAGAAAATGGAAAAGGAGGGCTTAAGAACTACCTCCAAAATACGGACTGGCTGTGGACAAACGAATACTTCGTTGATGATCTT